ATGTCCATAAGACTACAAGCCATAATCATGTCATTAAATTCATCCATAGATTGATAGATAGGAGAAGACCCACCTAACCTTTCATCCGGATTAGAAATAGTGTTGAAATCCCCCCCACCAACCAAGGGAGATTACAAATACTATTAAACTGCAAAAGTTGATCCCACAAAATCCTCCTGTTATAACGAGAAGAAGCAGCATAAATAAAAGAAGCATAATATTGCCAATTAGAGCTTTCAATATTACAATGAATCACTTGAGTAAAATCACCAAGGAATTCAATCCTAACAAAATACTTCCAAAAGATCCAAATTTTGTTAGAAATATTAGACTTGGCATTATTGAAACCCAAAAACCTAGCAGTTCTAGGTAATTTATCCACGGAAATAAGCGGTTCCAGTAAAATAAGAATAGCAATATTATGAATACGACAAAGATTTTTAACTCTACTCCTAGAAGAGGGACAACCAATCCCCCTCACGTTCCAGATAATAACATTAAACATAAAAAACATTAATGAGAAGTATTTGATCTGGTGCTTCTAGGCGATTTTAAAATAACACTTCTAGGTTTCCTTCCCTTTTTGCCACGACCCTTAGAAAAACTAAGGTCATTATCTTCTCTACCATAGCATTTAGCTAAAATGTCAATTTCAGTATCAGTATAAGCATCAGAAGGATAAAAATCAGATTACAACATAGTTTTATCATTTAAGTTACCAGAAGGTCCCTTAGAAGGCCTCTCATCTTCCAAATAAAAAACACCATCCTCAAGCGAAGTTAAAAAATGTTCATTACCTTCCATCTTACTTTTACCTTTATTGGACTTAGTATTACCTGACGGTTCCCCTTTATCATCCCCAATCAAAACAGAAACAATCCCGGATTCGGCAATAGGCTGAGGAAGATCCACAGATTCGACAATAGGCTGAGGAAGATCCACCTCCTCAACCTCGGTAGTGACAATATTAGGAACAATAGCCAAAGTATTTATCGGAGCGCTAACCAAAGCTTGCAACCCATCTTCTTCCACCTGATTAGACTCAACAATAACATTAGTATTGACATCCACAATATTATAAACTTCTTCCACAATATCATGAGTAACAGTTCGATTAGAATCAAAAGCATATTGTGAAGATAAGTTAGGAATCATATTGTTGACAACCTCTTGAGCATCATTACCTTTCCCCACCTCATTCACAATACCTTTCCCCACCTCCCCTACAACAGGAGATGGAATATCCGATGAAATAATGCCACCATGAAAGGTGGGCAGTTCCTCCACCTCCTTACCCATATCATATCCTTCCAACATATCCTGATTACAACCCTTAATCGTATTGACCTCTTGAACTATAGAAGGTTTAATTTGTTCCTTTGATTTCTTAAGGTTAGGATGTAATTTAAAACAATCGATCATGCTATGACCATGCATTTTACAATGCGTACAAAAAATAAGAAAATTTTCAAATTCCACCTTTTGAAAATAGCCATTCAGTTCTGACCCAAGCCATATCTCATTAGGAATTTTTTTCGAATATCCACCTCAACCAAAATCCTGGCCACAGACGAACGGGAAACCGAAGCCATTGCCTGATCAGTTTGCAATGGCCGACCAAGAATAGAAGCCAAACCAAACAAAACTTGTGTGACGCCCAGGCATCCATAGTGAAAGGATTCGTCTGACAGTCTTGATCAATCTCCAATCCTGCTGCCTTGCTCGGACCTGAAAATGTCAACCACATATAATGAGCTTCAAAAAGCCCAGCAGGTCACCAAAGCCTATTACTGAAATCAAAGCACGGCGATGATATCAATATGCATGTCAGTCAATCAACTCCATATCAGTCAATGGTCAATGAGTCTATGCAATACGGAAATCAATAGTCAATAAAGCCAGTCAATACAGCGGCAGGCGAATCGATAAATCAACTCAATAAATCTATGTCAATCTCGAAGAAATCCGTTCACAATAGGAAATCAATCAATCCATCAAATCAATCGCTATCAAATCAAATCAATGCGGTCTAATCAATACTATTTATTCAATGAAATCAAACGAGGATTACAGTACGATAAATCTCAATCTATTCTAACAATGAATCCATGCAGCAGTCCATACGGTGCAGAAATAGTAACAACAGTGAATCTATATGCAAGATCAATAAATCCATAGACAGTAGTAACAATGAATCTATAAGCAGAAATTAATGAATCTATAGGCAACAGTGTCAATGATTCTATACTATTCATGTCCATGCTATCAATGCAATATCTATATCCATCCATTTCTATATCAATGCTCAATGCCGATGCACAGCAATCAATTAGTGCAATCTCAGACAAATCAGAAATCCTACGAAAATTCGGCAGAGTAACGGCAGTCTACCGATTTACACAAAAAAACCTGCAAAAAGCACAAATTTCTAAATTCACACAGAACGTTCACAACATCAATATAAGGCTATTGTTCTACTGAATCCATATCAAATAACATCCTGATATTTTTCTATTCAATTAAAATCGCGTAGAACCAATTCCGACCGGTAAAATCATCGTAGAAAATACTCAAATCGTGTACAATATTCATATCTATAACATTCTAAAAGTTGTGCGGTGAAAGTTGTCTCAATACAAAATCATGTCCAAAATTCGACTACGAAAATATAAAACAGTACACAACTCGATCAAAAATCAATATCTCTGAAAACAGAAATAGGATTCGGAGTCCTTACAGCGAGACAAACAAATCTTCCAACTGCGTCGTCGGACGAAAAGCGCTCCGCGGGCTCCAAAACCAAGCTTTTCCTTCTCCTGCCTTCTCTTTCTCTCTCCTGCCTTCTCTTTCTCTCTCTTCAAATGATCCAAAATATCTCAATCGGATATTTATTAACACTGATCGTCCCGGACGATCCAAAATTCGTCCTGGTACGATGTGTTCTCTGGACAAATTTCGTACAGACGAAATTAAAATTCGTCCCGGGCGACTTGCTCTCTGGACAGATTTCGTACAGACGGATCGTCCCGACGCTCCAGGTTCGTACAGACGCAAATGATAGATTTCTTCACAAATTTCTTCAGTTCGTCCAATACTAAATCCAGTTCGTACAGACGAACTGCACTTAAAAAATTAGCTTTTTAAGGGTTTTATAACTTGAGCATTAAAAAAATGCAGTCTAAGGTTAGGAAACGATACCCATACAGGAACAATAGGAGATTCATGACGAACATCAAAGTCGGGAGTCCATTTGAGAAGCCGCATCTGGCAGGATTGAATGTAATAGGAACGCCTAGAGAAAATCCTGTTATAATCTAGATCATTCGACAATTGAATAGCTACAAGCCTGGGATCAAGTAAACCTACATGGAAAGAGCCAAAAAGCTTAAGATTGTAATTTTTTTTTCGAATAATATCAATATTGGGCCTCTTAAGCACAAATTTTCCCACAAGGGTAAGAGCAAACGGTTTAGCCAGTTGAGCAACCACCGAATCCTCAATCAAAAGAGCAGGACATCCTTTGAAAGAGGATTGAACAAATTTCAGATTGGAAGAAGAAGAAACATCACCAGCTAGCGCCTCTTTAAAGGATCGGGGTTTCCCCTTAAGGACAGAAGCCACGACGGGTTAGATGACGACGGAGTTGTCATCCCCCCAAACAGAACGAACTAGAAGGCCAATCAGACCAGAAACCCCCACAAACACACACGAGAGAAGGACAGCACAAAAAAACACAGGAAAAGGCGAAAGCCACAAAGAAAAAACCACCAAAGAAAAACAGAAAGCCAAGAAGGGAACAAGGAAAAATATCACCAGATAATCTGAGAGAAAACCAGAGAGATCCCAGCGAGAAGCGCCACCAGAGGAGCTCGAGGAGCAAACCCTAGAATCGCCCTAAAATCGCCTCGAGACTTCTCTTTAGAGCTAAAAAAAAAGTGGTAAAAAAAAAAAGTAAAAAAAAGTAGTATGACGAGGATCCAACAAGCCAACATTAAAAGATCCAGATAGTTTTAAAGCAAGAAAATTTTTTTGAATCATATCAAGATTAGGTCTACGCAAAACAAATTTACCCACAAGAGTAAAAGAAAACGGAGTAGCAAGCTGTGAAACCACAGAATCCTAAAACAACAGGGCTGGACAACCCTTAAACAACGAGTGCACAAAATGAATCCTAGAATCCGCAGATGAGGAACCAGCCGCCAAGACATCCTTGAAGGAACGGGTCTTACCAGTCGGGACAGAAGGATTCGGGATGGACGACATCGAGGACGTCAACTCCCCCCCAACCAAAACCCCAACGAGTCCTCAAAACCCCAAAAAGGGAATGCAAAAACAGGGGATCCCCAAACAGGAACCCAGAAAAAATAACCAGAGAGTAGAACGAAGATACCAGAACTAGCTGATGGTAAAAACCCAGGCTTAATTGACCAGAGGAAGAGAACGAAAAGATCTCCCGAGAACGAGAAGACGAGATTGCCTTGAAATCGCACAGAGGAGCGCAACGGCTAGGGCACAACTTACTAGTTGATTCTTAAAAGCTCTGTCTTAAATTCTAAAGGCTTGATGTTGTTATTGTGTTGTGGTTATGATTTGTTTGGTTTACTTGTACTCACCAAAGCCTAAACTACGCCAAATTTGGATATGACTTATGAACAAATCTGACCATTTTTCTCTTAATTTTTTATTTATTTTAAACAAATGTAATAAATAAGTAATTGAATTAAAATTTATATAACATTCATAAAAAAAATAAATTAATAATTTTAAATTTTATTATAATTAAAATTTGATGAACACAGCCGTTTCAGTAGCAGTACTGTCATTCAATTGATCCTTCCTCTCTGCACCATACTCCCGTCATGAAAAACATCTATATATCTCGATCGATATAACTCAAATAAAAAAACAAAGAAAAATAATACAAAACCGGCGGTCAGACCGATCAATCAATCCACCCATTGATCATCCGACATCTCTACACGATCTCATCATAAGCTCAACTAATTCCTAAGTGGCTTCAAGTAGACCAAAACGCCATGCTTGGGCTTCAGCGTCAGAACATTGACCGGCGCATGCCTGTAATTCTCTGAAATGGTGAAGCTGAAGCTTGTGAGGAGCATGGCGAGTATCACCTTGGCCTCCATCATGGCGTAGGCCTGGCCGACGCAGTTCCTCGGGCCGGAGGCGAAGGGGAGGAAGTGGCGGGTCATGGCGAAGGACCGGGCGGCGAATCTGTCCGGGTTGAAGCTGTGGGCGTCTCTTCCCCATATCTCCTCGTCGTGGTGGATGGCGAGAACGGGGATCCAGATGGAGAGGCCCTTGGGTATGTTTAGGTCTCCCAGCTTCATGTCCTCGAAGGCCATTCGGGGTAGTAGGGTTGCTGGAGGGTACAGCCGAAGGGACTCGTTTATTATCATCTGCAGCTGCAAGAAAAAATATTGCGTTAATATTCGTGCACAAATATTATATCTTTATGCATTTTGTATTATGAAAATTTTTAAATTTTTGAATTTACATTAAGATTAGTGCAAAAGCTCCGGCGGTTGATAAGATTAGAGAGAGTCAGTCGCTTTGGATGATCTAATCACATGAAATGTCGGCCTTTCGATGACCCGATTAGGACAGTAGATATATTAGATATGATATATGTTAAGAAAGATGAAGATAGCTAGACTTAAAAAGATTTTGTTTGAAAGTATTAGAAGTGACATTTTTTATTAGATTTAAATGAGAGTTTAACTCTTAATAGGATATAATGAAGAATCAAGATTCATATAGCCGATCCCACGTAGTTAAAAAAATACTTGATGTTATTTTTGTTGTTGTATTAAGATTAGTGAAACACTAATTTCAAAATAAATATAAAAATTTTGAAGCCTACTCTATGCAAAATGTGTCAAAAATTTTTATATAATTTTTTTTTTTGTTTTTGGGTTTTAGACTTCTCTCATAAAGATGATATCTTATGATTAGATGTGTTGAAATTATGTTGACAATGAAAAGTTTAACATTATATCAACATATCAAAAGTAAAATAATTATGTATATAAGAACATAAAGCATTGGGGCATTATTATGATATTTTTGAACAAGTCATGTATTTTGTGAAAAGGTGGCCCATAGTTAGGTGAGTTTATTAAATAATATATCTTTGATCACTTGTTAAGCTTTTTGAATTGAAAATACATTAAAAATTTTGTATTTCATGTATGACTTCAACCTCATTGATTTATACTTTTGATGTTATCATAATTGATGATTCAATTTGGATGACTGATTATGCAATAGATTATGCTTTACATCATAATCAAGTAATGTTCAAAAGCAATTATAAATAAATTTTCTTTATGAAATAAAATAATGCCAATGCAAGATAATTCTTAAGACACATCAAAATATTGGATTAAATCCAATAACTCCAAAAAGATATTAAAATAAAGAGGGACTTATATGCATATAAATCATATAATTCTTATATATTTGTATATTAAATGCCTAATGGTTTTTAAGGGCAATTTTTTTATTACTTTTCTTTTTCATGCTATAATCTCAATTCTATCTGGCTATCACTTTTTTGTTAATTTCTCACTTATTTTTCAAAAATTTCTATGACAAGTAATTTTCACCGCAAGTTGGCTCAAATGTATTAATGTGTGGCAGCTATAATTAAAAAAATTGTTTTTCGATTAAAAAAAACTATTTTTATAATACTCACAATAACTTTTAAAAAAAATCTTTTATATAATAAAGTGTAAATCTTGATATCTACTTATTTAACATGCAAATATTGAATTACATAAACATATCACTAATTTTTACTTTTCTACAATAAATTTTTCTTCTCTTACATATATTTTGATTTGATTAAGAAACTTAAACACTATATAACGAAAAAAAAAAAAAATAGATGTTAGATATGTAAATATCTAAAAATTATGTGGTATATATGTAAATCTTCCTAATATAAAAATTCATACTAGTACTTTGCCAATCATCTGCAATATTAAGGTCAAATAAAAATTATATTTGACCACTAGTTAATAATAAAGAATTAAAATATAAAATAATCTCATGACATAAACACATATCAAAAGTATTGAACATTGACTCGAATGACATCATTTTATAGAAATCAGCCACTGAATCAAATTTTCTTCTTAACAAAATAACATAAATGAATTTTATTATTTAGATAAATTATAAAATGAATTTTTACTATTAAAAGCTTCAAATAATTAAGCTTCATTAAATTATATATTTTTAAAAATTTAAAGAGGAGGTGTCTCTCTTTAAATTCTCTCTTGTTAAAAAAAATTAATGGCAGGCTAATTTAAGATTAATTAATTGAATGCTTGATTACCAGAGTGAGCTTGGGAAGCTGATCAGCAGTAGGAGGCTGATAACCGCAGATTTGCTGGACCTCTGAGCGAGCCTTCTCCTGCCACTCAGGATTGGTGGCGAGGAGCATTACAGTCCAGGTGAGAAGAAGAGCAGAGGTCTCATGGCCGGCGAAGAAGAAAGTCTTGCACTCATCCATGACTAGCTCGAGTGTATAGCTGAAGGCTTCCTTCTTGTACGTCTCAGCGAGAAGCATTCCAAGAAGGCCCTTCCCATACGAAGAGCTCCGGCCGATCTCTTTGCTGTCTCTCCGGCTATCTATGATCTCCATTAGAAGCTTCTCCACCTGCTTCTTTAATGACTTTATTTCCCTCCTAAACTTGCTTGGAAAAAACCTGAAACCGAGAGTTGGAGGAAAACATTCTTTTAAGAGAAAAATAAATTTTTTTACTATTTTATTTTCAAGAAAGAAATCATAATTTTTATTTTAACATTATTTTATGGTGCTTTCAATAATTATTTTTACTAAAAAGCTATTTTTTATAGTAATTTTCATAAAAATTACTTTCATAGAATAGTTTTACAATTATCTTTATAAAAACTTGAAGCCATTTCAAAGATACTCTTAATTTGGGCTTATAATTTTATTAAATATTCATTAAAATTTTGATATAAAATTCAAGTTATAATTAGTCTCATTCCCTATTTATTTATAAATAATCTCTTGACTAACTACACATAACCAATCTCAGTTAGTAAAATATTTGGATCGATTACTACCATTTAAAAAAAATAATAATGAATTTGCATTGGAAGACGAACCTGCCTGCAGGAATCCACAAATGGCGACTGGACTGCGCAGTGAGACTTTGCAGGCGGGTGAGGAAATGGAAGATCTGTTTGCCCTTCTCATAGCTGCTATCGAACTCAGTCCGGGAGATAATATCGCCGGTGAGCCTAGTCAAATACTCGCCAATCTCCACTTCTTTGTTGCCGCCGGCGACGGCGACGGCGGCGCTCAGTGCACTGATGGTCTTCTTCGTGCACTCCACCATATAGCCCATGTGGTTCTGCAAGCCCAATCAAGGTAAGACATACATGGCAATTAGATTCTTCTTTATGATTTTGTCAATGCAAACAAAGAAGGAAAATACAAACAAAGAAACAGACGAAATTGTTTCATTATTGTAACTCTAAAATCAATATTTTAATTTTCAATTGATATTATAAGACATATTCTCTATTAAAAATTAGAGAACAGTCATTACACAACCGAATCTTGACTTATGTTCAGCAAATAATTTCTCCACCTGTCTTAAGAAGGTTTTAATTATCATATTTATATATTATAATTCTAATTTTTTGTTTGATTTTAAGAACATAAATAAGTCAAGATATTCCCATTTTAGTTTTTGTGTTGATACATCTTATAAGACAATCTATAGCCCGGTAAGATTAAGGTTTTGTTTGAGACGTCTTTCTTACTGCTCCTTAAAGCAGTTTTTTAGTTTAAATTTTTTAATTTTTGTTTTCGAAAGCCGCTATAAGAAGCAATAAGAAAGCAATTCTAAACGAAGCCTAAGGCTTTGTTTGAAACAACTTCTTACTGTTATGTTTTTCAGGTCGCAACTATAATTTCTATTTGACTAATACTTTTTCGTTACTTTCAAAAAATTTATGTGCTAGAAAGCTAATTTTTACAATAACTTTTAATAAAGTTGTTTTCTCCACAACACTTCTATAGACATATTTAAGATAGTTGCATCGTTTTATAAAGTAAAAAATAAAAGAAAATACTCAAATGAAATTGTGGCCTATTATCTGAAAAGCAAAACATCCAAAAAAAAAGGGGGTCCCTAATTCTCTTGTCTTGTTACATGGCATTTTATATGATAAACGTTATGATTATCTTTGAAAATAATAACAAATATATTATTAGATGAACATGACCGTTACCGTACAAAGAGTTAATTAATTAAGCAGCTAGCCCTGGTCAAAATTCCTACAAGGAATTCTCTGTAGAAATTTGTATTGAGAATTGTCATTTACCTTTAGGATTTCTATCTTGCTTAGTCTTAGTGTCGTATATCAAAGGATGTGTAACATCAATAGGAAGGAAATCATAAAAAAAAATAAAAACACAAAGAAGTCAAGCAAATACAACATCAAAAATAGCCCTAAAAATGCCTCTTTTTTTCATTTCTTATAAAGCAAATGTTTGGCTTGCTCTCAGCCATCACTGATAAGGCCGGGCTCCACATTTTGCTGGAGCACTAACAAAGTTGTGTTTAAGAAAGATTAATGAGTAATTAACTTTTTAATCACCCATTTAGATGCAGGCTTAAGTTAATTTAATATACAAGTTGTTGTCATTATTAAACTATTTGAAAGATAACTATCAATATTAAAAAAAATAAAAAATTGAATGATAACGAGTAATTAATTAAAGAAAATTTCTTATAAGATTTCTTTTTAGCTTCTCGACATTTGGGCTGCCATGTAATTATCATGCATGAATAATGCAAAAAAATTTAAAATAAAAAAAAGGAAAAAAATTGCATGCCTTGAGCTTCTCTCCCATGAAGGCCGGCGCTACTACATGACGTTGGTGTAGCCATTTGTTGCCGTTAGCCATCAGCAAACCCTGGCCGATGAAATGCTTCGAGCCCTGCAATTGTAGCCATGACTTGCCAGAAATCTGCACATACTTGGACGACAGAAACTCCTTTATCAGCTCTGTGTCTGTTAAGCAAAGCCTCGGCTCGCTTCCATACCAGAACACAAATCTCTTCCCTACAAACGAAGTTCAATTCAGTAACATAAATGCATGAGTGACAGGTCTTGCAGCTATGTATATTATAACTATATGCATATATACCATAGAGTTTGGACCAGAGCTGGTAGTGTGGAAGAAGGCGGCCGACGATGTTGTGGTCGATAGCGGGCATGTCGGCGGAGGTGGATTTTGTGATGAGGGCAGCGATGTCGGGGAGGTTTCCGACGAGAAAGCGAGGCTTGGGGCCCCGAACACCTTGCTTCTCCATGGCTAGTCGGATGCGGCGAGGGGTGAGGTAGTAGGAGGATAGGATGGACCAAGCTGCTGCTAAGAGGAAGAAGGCCAGGGCTGAGATGACCGCCGCCACAGCGGTGGCCATGGATGGAAGGAGGGAGAAGAGAGGAGCTTGAAGAAGGAAAGTTAGAGGAATGGTTGTGAGTTTTGGTTTACACAGAAGCTTCTCTTTATAAATCATTCCACCTCCCACACATGTTTAGGATGAGTGGTGGTCCTGAAAAAAAAAACAAAAAAAAGTATAAAAAGAAACCATTGTAATTCTTTTTGCCTTTTATAAATAAAGTTAGAATTAGTAAATTTTAGGGGGGTGGATTTGATTCACTTCTACATGTCAAAATAATATATATATATACACTAATCTTAAAATTTTAATAAGTATATTCTGATAGAATGTTTTCCTATATATGCCATGTAAAGTTACATTAGTGGTAACTATTAGTCATATGATTAGATAATATCTTTAAATAAAAAAGTTCTACTTTGATGGATATTAAATTAGATGTAGAATTTGTTCTAAATTGTAATGGTTATTTGATTCATTTATGTCTGCCATGTGATTTTATATTAGTGAAAAATATTAGTTATTTAATTAAACAAGATCAAGATGATGCTTAAATATGCAAAGCATAATTCCTATATTATTTGATGAGAATAGAAGTTGTGTCATAAAATCCTGATTATTATAATAGCTTAAAATTATTGAATTTATTTTGAGATTAGTAAAATATAATTTTTTATATGAAATAATAATCTTTAGAAAAATCTAATAATTTTTAAACCTATCTTGATAAAATTTGTATCAAGATATCTGGACTCAATTTTCTTACATTTGTTGTAGAAATATCAAAAAATTGTTATTTTCATTTGTTTTATTTAATATTATATTACCTAGATAAGGTAATATTAATAAATTAATTACATTTGATTATTGTTATGTAAAAATATAATTTAGAAAATATTACTATATATATATATATATATATATATATAATTCATGTGACATGTGATGTAGATTTGGCAAATGACAATATGATGTAAGAATAAAAAAATTTACATGATGGATTGTGAGTAACATATGGAATGCATCCATGCATATACATATTGTTTAATGGTCAAGGCAAGGCACAAAATTGCAGGATTTTTTTTTATTAATTTTAAGTTATTTTTTAATTAAGTTAGTTGAGGGAACTCATGAAACAAGTTAGGAGACATCAAATCCAATGCAGCTTATGACATTTGCTTTAAAGTTTATTTGTGTCAGATGAGTTATTAAGGTTTCTCAGGTTGTTTTTCTTTATTTTATTTTATATTTTTTATTTGCATTTTTCTCATAATAGACAAATCACATATAAAACTATTAAAATTTGATAAAAAAATAATTTTAAATCCTAAAAAGAAATTAAATTTTGTTTGCACAAGTTTCAATGAAGTTAGGTATAATAGTCATAATTTGTGTCATGTATTTAATGAACTATTTTCATATTTAAATATTTAATTAATATGTAAATACTTTAAATACTCAAAACAGTATGCTTTAATATTCAGTAAATATAAAATATTTTACATAGTAAAAATCTTGCATTAATGTTATCACCATTGAATCTGAAATATTATTCAATGGTTTTTTGGCTTGTTCATGCTGGTTGCAAGCTGAATTTTTTGGCGAGAAAGATGGTGCTGATTACCTTTACCTGGATCTTTCTTTTTTGTGTGTTGGCTCCTAGCCGTCCTAGCATGTACCTAAGTTTTCCTGTAATTGTTTTTCTACAGAGGTCTTTTCAGGTCATTGTTTTTTTTTATCTTGGATTTGTTTTGTATCTCTTTGGAGTGGTAGTGAGCTGAAAGTCCCTCTTAAGGATCTTGTATTTGCAATTTTTTAATTTAAAATTTAGCCAATTGATGATTTTTAGTTTCCTTTTTAAAATTTTTATTTATTATTCTAATTTTGTTAGCATCTACTAGCTGTTGTTGTCAGTCGCTCACTACTGGCTTACCACAACTTGCCAGTTGTTCACCATAGCTTGCTATTGGCTTGCTAGAACTGGTCTCAGCTTGTTAAATAGTCTTTTTGTTAAGTAGAAGTTATAGTGACTGAATCGTTATTTTTTTTTTTTTTGGGAAATTTGGGGACACAGCCCTTCAATTAATTAAAAGATAATACAAGAGAAAGAAGGCCTATCCCAGAAAAAAAGGGGAAAGGCCAAAACAAAAAACAATAACTGTAAAAGGAGAAAACCTATACCACCAAACAATAATCCAATGAAACCAACAAAAAGTGGTATACAAAATTGATCAGGACTCAGGCATTAGCTGCAGCGACAAAATCGAGGGACTCGGTCATCGCATTGGTCAGAAAGTTACCCCTGGTTGCCCAGTAGACCCTCCTAGGGGTAGAGCTACAGCGGTCATCATCGTCCTGCAAAATTGTCTGAAATAACCAAAAACTTTTGTAACATGAACACCGAGAGGGCAGTCCGAGAAGAGCCCACCAGAAGATAGTGTTCAACTTGTACCAAGCGCAGAAGCAGCAGCCCAAAAAATTGAAGTAGATCCCAATTATAACACCAGCCGAATGCCAACCACAGGGGTTAGCACAAAAACACCAATTATCGCAAAAAAGGAAGTAAATTGCTGCCATTTTTTCATCTCCCCAATTTAGCCTGAACAACATATTTAATCTTTCTAACCACCGTAGTGTGACAGTCAATATTATTGCCAAAAATTCTGTCATTACGAGACCGCCAAATATAGTAAATAGCAGTATTTACTAACAGACAATAAAAATTTAGTAATTCAGACGAGTCCGCAATGTCATCCAGAAAGTGAAACACTTGGTGAATGTTCGGGCGTAGAAGAAGAGTATGAGCTTGAGGTATTAATGCACATAGAATCTTAAAAGAGAAGTCGCACTCAAAAAACAGATGAGAATGAAATTCATTACTCATCAAGCAGAAGGTGCAAAGAGGATTAACAGTAATACCACGTCTCATTAAAATGTCTGCAGTTTTTAGCCCATTCTTAACAGCCAGCCAACCAAATGCAGAAAATCTGATAACCGAATGTTTATGCCAAACAAAATGATTCCAGTCCAGTACCGGGTAGTGCATATAAAATTCCTTCCTAAAAATTTTGTTGGAAACCTTCCCAGCATTCAACCAAAGGCAACCAGTGACAGCATCACTAATAGGGACAGAATAAATAATAGTCGTTAAAGCATAAGGCCAGCAATTAGGCAAATTCCAGCTACCATTGAAAATAATGGTAGAGACAATTTTCCTGTTGAGATTGTTCAACCAGCTCCCATCAAAATTAGCAACAGCCAACTCAGCAATGGATTTACCATGGCACCAGGGGTCCCAAACGAGGGAATGGTGACAATCTGGCAAAATCCTAAAATTCAGACAGTGTTTAATACGAGCAGCAGTATCAGAAATTTTTTTCCAAAACAAAGAACAACCCTTGTTGTGAGGAAACCAGAGGGAAGTGTACAGATTACGCCAACAAGAGAAAAGCAGATTGCTACCATTAATGAATCTCCAGATGATAGAGCAGGAGAAAGAAAAATTTAACTCATCAAAAGAAGGTAGGCCAAGCCCACCATTAATTTTCGGAATGCATGTATCTTTCCAGGCAATCAGACGGAGCTTTTTAGCAGCAATGTCTCGGGAATAAAGGAACCGAGAACAAATTCTGTCCAAAGATTTGAAACATTTTTTTGGTAAAATAGAGCCTCTAATCCAGTAGGCTATAGTATTAAAAATAGTGAATCTTAAAAATTGGATTCGACCCCCAAAGGAGAGAGCTTTAGCCTTCCACCCATCTAAGGCTTTAGAGATTTTTAAAATGAGGGGTTGGAAATCAGCAAAGGTAAGCTTCTTTTGGTGAATAGGGAGGCCTAAGTATTTGAAGGGCCTAGAGGTTTGCTGTATGTTCAGTAAGTCACAAATATCCTCACTCTGGTGGCAGTTGTTGGAGAAAAGGATAGTGCTTTTGGCCGGGTAAACAACCAATACAGAAGAGTTGCTAAAATGCATCAGAATGTTGTTAAGACAAGAGGCCTCCTGTAAGTTGGCTTTGGAAAAAACCAATAAATCATCAGCATATAATAAGTGGTGAATGGCCGAATTACCCATCTTAAAGCCTTGAAAATTCTGAGAATAAAAGGCTTCCTCAAAGATGCAAGAAAGAGCATCCATAGCCACCGTGAACAAATAAGGAGAGAGGGGACAGCCCTGTCTTAAACCAGAGGATGAACTGAAAAAACCTTCAAGAGACCCGTTAATGGCAACAGAGAAATGAACGTCAGAGATACAAGATTTAATCCAAGAAATGAAAATTGCAGGAAAACCTTTAACTTGGAGGCGTTGAAGAAGAAAATCCCTTGAAATAGAATCAAAAGCCTTATGAATGTCAAATTTAGCACAGAAGTATTTATCTCTAGAAGAAGAGTTGAATTTGCCTAAAATTTCCGAGGCCAAAATAATATTGTCAGAAATAATTCTATGTTGGATGAATCCAGCTTGAGCAGGGTGGATAATGTGAGGCATAACAGTTTTCATCCGATTTGCCAGCAATTTAGCAATAATTTTGTAGAAGGAGTTGCACAAAGAAATGGGTCTAAAATCGTTAATAGAAGAAGCATGCTGATGTTTGGGAATAAGAGCAATAGCAGTGTTCTTGGCTTGCCTGGGGAGAAAGGAAGTAGCAAAAAAGGAGTGAACAGCTTTACAGATGTAATTACCAATTGAATTCCAAGTGGCCTTATAGAATTCAAAAGAGAAACCGTCCGGCCCAGGAGCAGCATCAGTAGGAGAAGAGAATACAACTTGTTTAATCTCATCCATAGTGACAGGGGCTGTAAGACCGTTAAGAAGCTCAGGGGGAATGGTGTTGCCAGAAGGCAGACTATCATTCCCCATAGGGTTAGCACCATTAAACAACTGATGGAAGTGATTAACAAAAGCCATGGCAATATCATCATTGGTGTTAAGCAACACACCATTCACCATAATGCCTCTAATCTGATTAGCATTGCTCCTGCAATTAATATTGGAATATAAAAACTTCAGGTCATCCTCCCCG